TATATATATATATATATAAGGTGGTAAAATACATTCTAAAATTGGAGTAAGTTAAAGGATTTGATATGTAAATAAAGTTAAGTGATATGTATGTAAATCTTCCTAATTATTATTTCACTTCTTTTGTTTTTAATTAGGAGACAGCTCATCCAAGCCATACAGATACAAAATCACCTGATGAAATCCTGATATTAACTCTTCCTCACAAGATTTGAACCAAAATCCGATAGGAAACCTATTTTCTTCTTATCTCCATTGATCAAGCCCATGTAAATTTAAGTCAATTCAATGAAAAAAAAAAGAAAAAGAAAACTTGAGTGAAATTTGTAGAAGAAACCACCCACTAATTCAATGTGTTTTACAGTAATCTTCCTCCTCAAATCCAAAATTCACCCTCTCCATTTTACTCGCAATCTTTCAAAAAAAAATGTCCAAATACACCGTGATACCTTACAATTCATTTAGGATCGGTAGAACAGCATTCTTCGAACTACGCGAATGTCCGAAAGAGAAGAATGATCTTTTAACCCTAGCAGGGCTGCCACTGCTGCTTTCCTCACCACCACTGGTATAGAAATTTGTATTCTTTTGCAGTATCTCCTGCACTGCAATGTACAGTAGCCTGTTATTAGAAGAATCCATGGAGAAAGATCTCCTCATGGGCTGCACTCCAAACTCTCCACCTCTGCTTCGACTATCAATGCACTCATCTCCCATACAAGAGACGAAAGCAGCCTTATTTTTCCGATTAACCCTCAGCTCTGCAAACCTTTCATGGCCGCCACCATTACCATCTTCATCACTCACATGCGCCTCATCATGCCCCATTTCAATACCAATCCTCACAATTTCAGCTGAATTCTGATCTGGATTTTCCTCCGCGATTGAATTGGTGACTATTGGCTCAGTGGTCGTGATCTCAGACCTGCAAAGCGGGCAATTCGCGTTCGTCTGAAGCCATGCATCAATGCAATCGATATGGAAGATATGAAGGCAGTTAGGCAACAATCTAGCCCTCTCCCCTTCTTTGAACTCATTCAGGCAAACCGCACATTCATTGGAGGAACTCTCCACTCTGTCTGTTCGATATCGAAATGTGGGGATTGCTTGAATTGTCGATTCGTCGAGCCCACGGATGTCGAGCATGACGGAGTACTGAAGCGCTAAGATGTCGTCATGGTGTCGATTATGGCGGAGGCGAAGCTGGATTAGTTGGCTGATGGTGTTGGATTGATGCCAGTTCAAGCAGCACTTGGTCACGAAGGCATAGTAGCTCATGAGGAGAATTGCTGTGGCGAGGATGCCTATAATGGAAATTGTTACAATTGGGAAACCGGACACAAGAGAGTTTGATGGAGTTTGTAGTGGTGGTGGTGGTGATGGGATTATGAGGTGAGGTTGTGCTCTCTCAGGAGGCATGGAATGTGTTAAGAAGCTGAAGATTTGATGCAGAATTTGACCATGAAAGATGCAGAGGATGGAGGGAGATATAGAGAAATGTCAGAACAGAGATGGTAAGCACATGTAGAGCAATGGGTGGTGGTGAAGATATGAGGTACTGAGGGCGTTGAAACAGGAAGTCAGGAAGAAAAATGAGGCAGGAAGTTTGAAAATTGAGAGTGAGTTGCGAGTTTGTATGTCAAAATTTCATTTTTTTTTTCTTTTTATGAGTGAGGTGTCATGAAATATTATTGTTCCACTGAGTTTTGTCATATTGTGGATGGAATCATTAGCAAGAGACCTAGAAGGGGAAATTTGTAACGGGTTTTGCTATTTAGTGAAATGAAGGAAAGAAAAGGTTGGGTTGGCAGTCTTTTCATGGCCATTGATGCAGCTAAGAAGATGCCAAGTGATATGATGGTTTGGATCGATTGGCAGACATGAGTCTGTGGCTCAAGTGGGCTGGATTTGTTGGAGTCTTATCATTGAACAGTTAAATTTTTCAGTGATATAAATTATCAGATGAAAATTATGCTTGTAATTTAACAGGAATTTATGATTTTCCACAACTATATATATACTTTATTATTTTATAAATAGAGTTATGGTGTGTTGTTTGCATATTTCTTAACCAGAGAAATTATAAGAAAGTAGAAGAATTTCTAGAATTTCTAATCGTAGAGAATGGTGAGTGGCCGGTCATCGTGTTATTTTGTGAATATAAGCATTTGATGGGTGGTTTTCAGTTATTTCCCATGATAATAAGTTGGAGCATTTAAGAAGTTAGAAAGATAATAATCTCTAGCTCGCACTCAGAGCCTGAAGACATGCCATGTAACAACACTCATAGTAATTTTTATTTCGCTTGTTATATATATACTTGCTATTGTTTACACCTACTTGTAGGTAAAGCAGAAGGGTAGAATGGAAAGAATCTATATAACGGAAGAGACATATAATAATACTGGTTGTTAAGAAGTGTGCCCTAGCCTTCCGTCTTTTTCCTGGTGGGACCACTCTATGGGAGTGCAGGTGATCTCTGGTGGTGAATGTGAAGCCTTAGATATGCATGTGTTATTACCCTCCTCAAGATGATGATGTGGTAAACAATATGTTGTTGACAACAAGCTATTGGGAAAATTTACGTGAGTAAGTCTGCGGGTTGATCTTCAATCATGATGTGTTGATGTGAGATTTATTTAGCTTTGAGATAATCCCTAATGAGGTAATAGTTCACTTATGTATTTTGTGCGTGCATGAAAGACTGGGTTATGCGCTAGGGCTATAAGGCGTATGTGTTGTCATTGTAGATCATGATCCACATTAATGATGCGTTGGTGAATCCTTGAAGTAGCGTTGTAGCCATAGTACTTCTATATTCAGCTTCGATGGAAGTTCTAGTTGAGGTAGGTCGTTTATTTTTTCTTGGCTAACCAGGATATAAAGTTGCATCCTAAGAAAATGTAGAAGCTTGTTGTAGATTTCCTATTTGTTATGTAACTATAGCCCAACTAGCATTTGCGTAGGGTCAGCTTGAGTAATTCAGTGGTAATGGGAAAGACAAAGTGTGTAGTGCCTTTTAGGTTTCTAAGAAGGTGTTTGAGGTGTTGATAGTGAAGAGTGGTGGGGTTATGCATGTGCTAATTGAGCACGTTAGTTGTAAATGTGATATCAGATCGTGTAACTGTGAGGTATTGGAGAGAGCTTATGAGTTGTTTGTAGAGGTGTGGGTCTGAAAATGGTTTGTATTTTGTGGGAAGTGGAGCTAAGATGGGTTTGAAAAGGCACATGTCTACTTCTGTGAGTATTTTAGTGAGGTAGGTACTTTGATTGAGAAAGCATCTTGTGTGTGTGTATTGAATTTGAATACTGAGAAGTGGGACACCCGTCCTAGTTGCTTGAGGTGAAATTGTTGTCTGAGTGGGTGGATTGGAGTGTTTATGGCTGAGGTGGAATTTCCTGTGATGAGTGTGTCATCTACATAGACTATTATGTAAATGTGTGCGTAATTATGGTCAAGAATGAGTAATTACTATTGAGGTTCTTGTTTAAATCCATAAATTGCCTTATGTAATTTGTATAACATTGGGATGTTGTTGGTCAATGAAGCCAAGTGGTTAATTCATGTAAATTTTCTTCAAATTTCCCATGAAGAAATGCATTAGAAGCATCGAGTTGCTGTATTGACTAGTCATGTGTTGTGACAATTGCAACGAGCATAAGAATTGTGGGGAATTTGACCACTAGGGTAAATATTTCATGGTAATCAATTCCATGTTGTTGAGATAACCCTTGTGACACTAGCCTAACTTTATGTCTAGCTATTGAGCCGTCGACATGATGTTTTGTTTTGTATGTCCATTTGCAACCCACAACATATGTTGGTTGGGTGAGGGAGGTACTAGAATTCAGGTGCCTTGTTGTTGCAGGGCTATGAATTTTTTGTGCTGGAGCCTTATCGCGATCCCGCCTCCGACCGCTCCCGCTTACCTCTCCTCCTGTTTCGCGAATCGGCGCCATTGCTCCCGCGCCCGATCATGAAAAGTCATGATCCTATTTTCCCTCTGTCGTGATACCTGTTCCCGCTCCTCCCGCCTCCACAGTCGTTGTTTCATTTCTGTTGTTTCGTGATAAAAGGTTCGGGCGACTCTCCTTTAGCGCTGAGTCACAGTGCAACCCATTTGAGTTCTTCTTCTGACTTCCACAGAACAGTGGAAGGGCTTCCTCGGGATAGAGGAAGAGAAGTGCAAGTAGTGTGCGTGCTTTGCAAAGGAAGAAAGAAGAAAGAAAATATAAGAAGAAGATTGTTCTCCATCGACTTCTTCTTGGTGGCTTATGGCATAAGAGAAATTGAGCTTTATTTCTCTTGTAAGTTTATCTTCTTCGGTGTATCTCGGTGTAGAGTTTCTTCGGTGTATCTTGGTGTAAAGAGAGAAGAACAGAGAGCAACGAAGTAAGAGATTTCTCTTGTAAGTCAAGACGATCGACTGGTGTAAATTCCTCAAGTAATAAAATTCTCTGCAACTCCGTGGACGTAGGCAATTTGCTAAACCACATAAATCTATGTGTTCTGCTGTGTAGTTCTTTTCTGGTGTGATTTTTCTCTTTCTATTTTTACTTCTTTAATCGTTCTCCTGTTTGATTTATATATATACCACATCGACTGGTGTTGGGTTTTGTTTTTGTCATTATATGTTGGAGGTTGAGCATGTGTCTTGATTTGAGGTGTTCTATTTAGAGACAGGTAGTCATATGGTGTTGTTTTTGTGGTGGTTGTAGAGGTTGTCTCTATTGATTGCATTTCTGTTTTTGTGTGAGTAGGGTTGTTGGTTGCTGAGTTCTTAGAAGTCCTCTAGACTTATAATATTGAGTTTAGTCTAATGATTGTTTTGAACTTTTGATAGTTAGTTGAGAGACCATTCAAGGTGTAGAAGATACATCCTCATTGTCAATTTGTGCTCCAGCAACTGTTATTTTGTCCACTATTGATGTTGGACAGGTACTAAGTCATGTTGTTAGTGCCCATGGTGTCATTGTGCATCTCATTATTAAGTAGAATTACTTGTGATCATTTGTTGATTAAGTATTCTATCGAGAGTACCCCAAATGGCAACATTATTGAGGAGAATAAGATATGTTAATATGGATGGAGATATGGTTGATAGAATGGTTGTTGCTAAATTTTGATACACCAATTTTCATTGTGTATAATTTGGATTTTTGGTTTGAAGTTTCATTTCATCCAAAAGGTGTTGTTTGTTTGTTTGTTATGGAAAGTAGAGGAGGAGGAATCCATGTCGTATTGCTAAGAAGCTGAATGCTCTAACACCAAGAAGGAACATAGATTAGAGATAATATCTAGCTCTCACTCACAGCCTCAAGAAAAGCTAATATCCACACTCACAGTAATTTCTATTTCCTTTATTATAAATAAACTTACTACTGTTTGCACGTATTTATATGTAAAGCGGAAGGGAAGAAAGGTAAAAAGCTATATATCATAAGAGTACAATATTTTTAGTTGCTACAAAGCATGCCCTAGTCTTCAATCTTCTTTATGGCAGAACCACTTTGAGGGAGTGGAGGCAATGTTTGTTGGTGAGCATGGAGCGTTGGATATGTATGAGTTGTTAATTTACATAACGCAACCCAACTATGTATTTATATATCAAACACCTCAATTTTATTTCTTATATTTGTACTGCCCAAATCTTCCACATCACTTTTTTTACTTCCAAAAAGTGAAATACATCTTTTCATGGATGGGTAAGATGAAATAAAAGTAAGAAAATAAAGCTTATGTAACACACGTAAATACATAGGAAGTGAGTGGTATGTATGCAAAAATTTCAAAAAAAATTTGTAGGCTAATTAGAAGGCAGTCGAACAACTGCATTTTAATCTTGGAGTTTAACTAGTGCGTAATGAGGATTGCATGTAATTAGAGAGAAATTACGATATATATAGATTATTTATTACATAGCCACATTGAGGCTGATGCTACAACTAGGCCAGATACCCATGGCACCTGGTCACAGTGCTGCAAATAGGAAGAATTATGGGAATTGATATGTTAGTTCTGTAATTCCTTTTTTCTTGACATTAATGCAACTCTATTTAAGGGACAGCAAATTGGGTGAGATGGCGCACGGTATACTAATTGAAGGTTAGATTCATGCGGATACAAAATACTATACGACAACGCATTATATGTGGTTGGTTGCTTGCTTGCTTGCTTTTAGCTCTGTCTGATGGTCCAGATACAATTTAACTAATTCGAAAGCACAACTAACTTTTAAAAAGGTAAATGTTATATGCACATATAAATAAATAAATAAATACATACATATATATACATACATTATACATAGATATAGATATAATTCACTAGTGTTGATTGAACAAACTAGTTGGTTCAACTATCACACTTTTGTTTAGAGTTAGCATTTATGCCACTAAAAGAGGACATAAAGGGCAAATTTAAGACAAGTTTGACCAAATTAAGAGACACGTTTTGTGGATAACTCTAAAGCTTCAAGTCAAAGAAATGTACAAATACTATTAATGGAATCACTTAAGACTGGCTACCTAAAAGGAAGGGCAAGTGATTGATAAACTCTAGAAAAAAAATAATGCTCATCTAAAACATCTAGTGATTAATATTATGATTTTATCTAAAAAGAAATTGTTATGCAATATTGTTTATGATTTCAGTTAAGGGACTCTTTGGTCAGTAGAAAAAAAATAATGTAAAATGAATGTAATGCAAAAATAAGGTATTATACTTGAAGAATTTTGGAGTTATT